TTATCTCGTCTACCAACCGGCATTCTAATAAAAAAAAAAAAAAAAAAAAATTAAAATGTGCCCTCAAGCAGGATTCGAACCTGCATTCGTTTTTGTAGGGAGAACCACTATCTGATTCGGCGTCATTTTACCGCTCGGCAAAAATTTATTAGGTTTTTTTCTCTAGTACGCAGGCCGGGTATATGGAATAAATACTGTGTATAATAAACGGAGCGTCTACTCAAACACTAGTATCCACTAAAAATAACATCTGATTTTTTTATATATATATATATTATATATATATATATATATATATACACACACACACACACACACACTATCCTGGATCTTATGCCAGCACACATAACATTCATAGCCGGGGTAATAAGTACCGTATACACCTTCAGCCATAATTGGCACCCCTAAAACTGTGTTGAAAGTGTGAAAAAAATGCTTCTATTCACGCATAATACGCAGCCCTTGTTTGGTAATCAAACCCTAAATTGTACCTCTCCAAATTTCATTATGGCCAGCGTTTACTACTCTTATTAAGAAAAAAAAATATTAATAATATTATTCTAATTTAGTTTTATGATGATTCTTATTTTATTTTACGACAATTTTTTAAAGGTTTTTTGAGCTGTGCATAATACGCACCCCTGATTTTGCTGCTTATTTTCTTTTTAAAAAAAAAAAAAAAAAAAAGAATGCGTATTATAGATGGGGAATTACGATATAGCATATCTCCAGGGAGCTCACTCTTATAGCAGTACCTCACAGTTGCTCCCAAAAATCTGTGGGTGCGTGTCGAGGGGAGAGTCAAATATTTTTTCCTTTAACTTTTATGGTATTCCATAGAAAAGTGCTGAGTGCCCAATTTTGACAGCAATTCCATTTTTAATAGTGATATTGTTTGTGAATATGAAATTATAGATAAGAGAGAGAAAGATAGACAGTTGCATGGAAAAGAAGATAGCTAGACAGACAGACCGATAGAGTTATGCATTTACACATGCCCGTTCGTGTATAGATTCCCTAGGTTGATGATAGAGTATGCTTTAGTTTAAACGCACGACGTCTCGGTAAATCGATGAACTAAAAAACAAAACAAAAACAAACTCTTTCTCGCACACTTATTCAACTGAAGGAGTTACTTAAGGAAAATGTTACCGGGAAAAATGATTTTTTTTTTCTGTATAGGTTTAAAAATGTGTATTTATTGATAAATAAAATTAGCGTAATGATTATCCGCGCCGGCCAAAACAAAACAAACAAAAAAAAAAAATTTAAAATAAAATGTTTACAATTTACGAACCACCATGTTTTTAAAATCTTGCTTGCCGATCGACTAGAGAAATGCTTCGCTTTTCAGACTATTACAGCAGACCAGCAAGAAAGCAAGTAAAAAAAAAAGTCTAAGTCAGCAGAATTAAATTCAGCTAGTACCAGTGAGTCAAGCTTAATAAAAATTGATTAAATTAAAACAAACAGAAAAATAACGGAAAGGTAACAAAATGACCAATAAAATGAACAACGCAAAAAAATTATAGCAAGTTTAGTTTTTTCGTACTTACCTAATAAAACGGTCCAAAATAGTAGAATACCCATTATTGCAATTTCAAGCAAATTGGTTCTCCAAAAAGATTTTTGTGTTAAAATGATCTTTCCGTGTGGCGTAAAGTTGTTAGTCAAATTATTGTTTGTTTGTTTTTTTAACAAATAAGTCTCCGTCAACCGGTTAAGCTTCCTGCCTGCTTTTGTTCGAAGATGGTCTGGCGAATTCTATTCTTGTTGCATTTGCGCGTGGTGGGCCTTTCTCAATGCGTTGTTTCAACGAATTCCTTATTTCTGTTGAGAAAACAGATACATGCACTCATATAATTATTCTTGTCTCTGTGGGTTTATATTTAATATATATATATATATATATATATATTTATATGTGTGTGTATTCGATATATCTAAATTATATTTTTACATGTATTTCTTTTGGATTTCAGAAACAAATGTATATTGATTTTCTTTTGCCCCCTTTTTTGCGCAAAATATTCATCAAAACTTTTTAAAACCCGTAAACTCGTCTCTCTCTCTCTCTCTATATATATATATGATATGGCAAAGGGAATAAAAACAAATGTTTTCCTTCTTCTTATATTTTTCTTTTTTGTCGAAAAATTCCGAAGAACGATTAAAACAGGTATTTCGTTAAAAAGTAGATTGAGACTAAAAAGTAATTTTAAAACATTAAAAGGGAATCAAATAAAATTAGCAGAATGATATATATATGTATATATGTATGTATGTTTATTTATTTATTTATTTATTTATTTATTTCCAAAAAGTAATTTGCTTCTCTCTCCCCCGCAGTCTGGTTCATTTGGAAGAATATTTTCAATAAATATTGAATGCGAAAACCAGCGTGATCATTATGGCAAAGTCTATTTAATAAAAAAGGGTGGAGTAACACCAGTCTCGTAAAGCAAGGATCAAAACATAATAGTGGCTTTTTTTGTGAGTTCAATCCCTACACGGGTTAATAAAAGCGGTATTTTTTTTTTTTTTTTTTTTAGAATTCACAAAGTTTTGAATATTGGAAGGAATTTAAATAAGAAAAAAAAATCTTTTTTTTATTTCTCTCCCTTTTAAATCAATAATTACTCGTTTCTTTAATATAAAATTAGAGATCCCATCAAAATCTGTTGAGATTTCTTTTTTTCAAATCCCAAACGTGTAAAAAAAGGGGAACTGTTAAACGATTTAAAAAAAATACATATATATATATATATATATATATATATATATATGAAAGAATCTTACAAAAAAATTATAATCTTTTCTTTTTCTTTTTTTCTTTTTCTGCTTTTCCCTTCAAAAATTCTCTTCCAGGATTTAAAGATTTTAACAAATCCGCGATTACCAGAAACGCTTGAAAATGATGACGATAATGATGATGAAGTTAATAATAATAATAATAATAATAATAATAATAATAATAATAATATAAGGTTTAAAACGAACTTGTTTCTACATTAAGTTAAATCTATAGGCAGACTATTTTGTTTTCTATGTGCATTTAGAAGATATATATATATATATTTATGTCATATAAAGAAGGGTGAATCAACCTTGCTAGCTTTTTGATAAGTTAACACAGATTCCGTATATATTCTCGTATATTACGTTGGCGTTTAAACAAGTTGGACGCCACGTAAGGCATTTACCGGTATGAAGGTATCCCTGAACTTTACAAGCGTTTTTAGATTCTTTTTAACATAGATCGCTTTTTCTTTGTTACGCTTTAGAAACTATCGTCTATTAATGTTTCACCCAGGATTTTTTTGTTTTGTGACTTTTTTCTTTCTTTTTTTTTTTTTTGTCCAGGTGAGGGGGGGGGTCTCAATAAAACAAGACTTGATGCTTTCTAACTGATTTGTAAATCAACGTCTTACTTTTTCTTTTTTTCTTTTTTATTTTCCAGGACTCCTTAAAAGATGTTTTAAATAAATTATTGAATTTATTTTGGTAATTATAAAATAAATATATACACCGCTAGCGGTATGTTTTTCTCTCTTTAGTAAAAAATAACCCCGACAAACCAAAAACGATGTCAAAAGATTGTCGGCTTAAATTTTCTTGGGTGACAAAAGCTTTAAAATATTTTCTTGTGTTGATACAGGATAATTTTTGTTTTTCTTTCTTTTACTTTCTTTTTTTTTTTTTTTTTTTTTTAAAGATTAATTATTATTATTTTCTACAATTAAATTCCTGGGAAATATTTCCATTTTAACCTTATTTAACTGTCTCTTCAAGCAAAAACCCCTATTTTCGTTTCGTCTACAGAGTCGTTCACGAAATAAACACAATAACGAAAGAACTCGACTCTAGATTCGAGCGTTTTTTGTTGTTGTTGTTGTTTAGTTTGTTTTTTTTTTTTTTGTTTTTTTCACGCATAAAGTGTATAAAATATAATAATATATTCATAAACAAAGTTTTCCTGCCATTCTTTCTTTCTTTCTTTCTTTCTTTCTTGGAGTCCTTTCTGTTTTAAATCAACGGGTGTATAGGTGTGTGAGTGCGTGTATGTGTGTCTGTGTGTCTGCCGGCGAGCGTTGCAACGATGTATTGCAGAGATGCACTACTGTTTAACCATGATCAGCATCCCGCTTATTTTCTGTGTAGTTGCACCTTCCATTCGCGCGCATACGCAAAAGCTATAATGCGGTCGAGGAGATCCTTGGGTTTTTCCACTTCCGGAAGTTGCACACACACACACACACACACACACACACACACACACACACACACACACACACACACACGTGCGCGTGCACCTTCACTTTTTGAAACCTGCAACATGAAATTACAACTACATTGCATTTTAACATCGTTATCATCGAAGAGAAGGGGTTCTCACCGTCCATGAGCGATGCGTTAATATGTACATTTATATCGATATATAATCTATCTATCTATCTATCTATCTATCTATCTATCTATCTATCTATCTATCTACTTAACCTGATCTTTATCTATCTATCTCAGCCTGTTCATATCTATCTATCTATCTATCTATCTATCTATCTATCTATCTATCTATCTATCTACTTAACCTGATCCTTATCTATCTATCTATCTATCTATCTATCTATCTATCTATCTATCTATCTATCGTTTATCTATCTATCTATCTATCTATCTATCTATCTATCTATCTATCTATCTATCTATCTATCTATCTCAGCCTGTTCATATCTATCTATCTATCTATCTATCTATCTATCTATCTATCTATCTATCTATCTATCTATCTATCTACTTAACCTGATCGTTATCTATCTATCTATCTATCTATCTATCTATCTATCTATCTATCTCAGCCTGTTCATATCTATCTATCTATCTATCTATCTATCTACTTAACCTGATCGTTATCTATCTATCTATCTATCTATCTATCTATCTATCTATCTATCTATCTATCTCAGCCTGTTCATATCTATCTATCTATCTATCTCAATATGTTCATATATCTATCTATCTCATGTTCATATCTATCTATCTATCTATCTATCTATCTCAGCCTATCTATCTATCTATCTATCTATCTATCTATCTATCTATCTATCTATCTATCTATCTATCTATCTATGTCAGATTTCATTCTAAAAAGCCAAAAATGTTCATAATAATTTCTTTTCTTTAACCAATCGATTTCGGTAAAATTTAAAAAAATGAATTTCTGTTTGTAACATCTGATGTTATTAGAATCATTTAAAATAATTTATTTGGTGATATTTTCCCCCATATTCACACATACACACGCAAGCACGCACACATACGCACACAAACACTTACACATACAGATGCACGCAGACAGCGGCAAAAACACACATACACACGTACACACATATAAGTCTAAATTTGGAACAAGTAGTAGAACCTATATAAATTTGACATGTTTGTTTATTTATTTAGTGTGATCACAATTGCGGGGGCGAGGGGGGGTAGGTACCCAATAAATTTTGTTCCTAAAGTTGAATAAATTATGAAACATCAAATTTATAAAAGTAATTTTTTTTTTTTTATTTGTTCCTTCTTTTATCATTTTTTAGGGTGGGGTTTAATCCATATTTTTAATTCATATATATATATATATATATATATATATATATATATATATATATATATATATATATATATATATATTATGTATATTTAGGCAGCATATTTTCATTTATACACGTTTCATTAAATAATATAGACAAGTGTTGCATATATTTTGTCTATCTCGCGTGTGGTCATGTGTGACGTCATGAGATGTGGTGCGATTTTCGCTTCTAGCGTCTTATATGCACGTGTTTACCGTTGCTTAGAAATCATCTATGTAAACAATGACAGACTATCATCACTGTCGTGTCCGTATATTGATTAATATGTTGTAACTGACATCTTTGATAATGGCTTAAGTAAGCTGAAAGCTTACATTATATTAAAAAAATATGGATCAATATTGTGAATTTCTTTCTCCGTTCAACGATAATGTTATTAAACTTATCAGATGTTACGAAAAAAATTTACAGTAAATAAATAGACAACACTTGTCTATATTATTTAATGAAATATATATATATATATATATATATATATATATATATATATATATATATATATATATATATATATATATAAAACTACTGGTAATACTCGGTTTGAAAAAACCTCGGATGGCACAACTTGTAAGTTTACCAAACAAATTGGTACCCGAGGAAAAAAATTTGAAAACAAAGAAAGAACTAGAAATATCTGAACACGGCAAAATAAATCGTCCACTGCCTTAAATTGTTTGTCCAATGAAAAGAAGAAACGAGCGAGTAGTAGAGTGCTCAATACGGTAAGTAGAGCAGGGACAAATGAAATAAATCCTAAAAAACCAGGAACAACATACCTAAGTTTCACCTAAACGGACCTTCAGAGTAAGCTGGCTCATATATATATATATATATATATATATATATATATATAGATAATATTAGTGGAAAATATACATACATATGAAAAATATATCTAAAAAATTCCCATACATGTATATTTTCAGAAAAAAACCCTCTGTCACGATGACTTGTTACACCGTCCTAGCGCAACCATCATCAGTCCTCCAAAAAGTTCCGGCCACCCAATTCACACTCACTAGGCTTTGAGAGTGTTTGCTTTGTTCATACTCTTGATAAGACTCTAGATAGTTCGTTATCACACATTTACATCGGATTCTGTCATTGACCACACCCATTATGCTACTGTATACAAACGCCAGTAGCCAAGAGTGCTCAATAACTAAAGAGCAATGCGTTAATAGCAAGAGCAGCTGCTGTTTTTTTTTCGTTTTTTTTTAATTACCCTTTCTCTAGAGTTGCTCAGTCGGGAAACGAAAGCAAAATAGTCATCCACATACAAGCCCTGTTTCGCTGTGTCGCTGTGTCGCTGCTCATATCCCACCGCCGTCAGCTTGTCTCTCTATGTCTTTTTTTATGAATACTTTCATGGTATTTGTACGTATGAGTGCTTCGCTGTGGTGCGTAGACTTTATGAATTCAAGCGCAGTACAAGACTGGTATCCAGATATCACCAATTTACAGTTGAGCTAGCTAGATATAGCCGCAAGTTCTATGCTGACAGTTTCTTTTCGCGGACATCACGTCTGTGGAACTCCCTTCCGGGCTCCATGCTTTCCAGCCAAATTTAATCTGAAAAAAAACAAAAAAACAAACAAAAGAAAAACGTTTAAATGCAACGTCAATCACTATCTACTGTCCTCCTGATTACTCTTTCCTCTTTCTGTTCATTATTAATGATTTTATTCCTAATTTTTCAACATCCAGTAACCTCCTTGTGTCTTAGTGGCTTTACGGCCTTGCATAGAGTGATACCGATTTTTAAAAAAGGAAAATGTTTTCTGCCTTTTAATTTGTTGCTGCTATATTCGTAATAAATTTTGCTGAGCGTTCTTGGTCGATTTTGATA